TATTATTATTATTATTATTATTATTATTATTATTATTATTATTATTATTATTATTATTATGCTTCTTACCTTCTTTACTATTCCCTCTTATTGGTATGATGGTGATGATGATGATTACTCTGTTGCTTGCATGTACACTGAGAGCTTCTGCACTGGAAATAAATTCTTCCTGTGTCTAATAACAGCCAAATAAAGTATTCCGTTCCATTCCACTCCACTCTAAACTGGTCAAATTAAACTTGGTTCCAAATGATGGATGAATCCAAATCTTCTCTCAGACTCTACCTGACAACCTCAGTAAAAGAAATGAGTGGAATGGAATAAGACAAATCAAGCTTGATTCCTAGTGACTTCATGGAGATGTCCTTGTAATTTTGTTGAAGTGATTTGCTATTATCTTCTTCCAGGATGGTAGGTTTTCTGTTTCTTCCTCTTCCTTTTCTTCTCCTCAATCTGTCTTAAAGCTGTAAGGTTTCCGTATGCCTCCCAAACAACTACTAATCAGGTCTGATCCCTCTTAGCATTCTCAAGCCCAGGTTGCTGTCCATCTGCTGTGGGAGCTTGGAGGAAGCCCTGGGATATTCTGTTCTCTCATTTTCCATCAGATTTGACAGATCTATAATGATTACCCTGTTTTGTAGGCCATTTGTTTTAGATCATTAGTTGGAATGCACCCTGTTAATCAAGACCTCCCCAAGGAGTAGTTCTGTCAAATTGAAAACAGATTTCCTAAAGCGTTCTTCACCCTGGAAGTTTATTGACGTCTTTGCTTTTAAACCCAGGTCTGTTAATTAAAGAGTGGGGGGAAGATGTATTGACTCACCTGCCACAGGGATCTCTTAATACTCTGGTTGGGTAAAAGCCATAAAGGCCAACCTGATACAATGACAGCGGATCTCTCTGTGTAAATGCAGGACTGGAGAGGCCAAAGTGGCTTTGGATATGGACTCCTAAGACAGCCCAAGTCCCATCTTGAAGGAGAGGGGAGTTGTTTATTGGCCTGAAATAAAGTCTGAACCATGGCCAAACGCCAGAATTTCCTTCCACAGTATGCAACATGCTCTTCTCTGCCCCTTATCCACTCCTTAAATTTCATGGCTTTCTTTGTGTCAGACCCCATAGATCCCTATCGGGGTGCTGTCATTCTGGGAGCGGGGGAGGGGGCCTGGGTGGGATTCAAATTTTTTTACTACTGGTTCTGTAGGTGTGGCTTGGTGGGCGTAGTGTGGCTTGGTGGGCGCGGCAGGAGAAGGTTACTGCAAAATCCCCATTCCCTCCCCACCCCACTAACCTACTTTCCAGCTCCGTTCTCCTGTGCAGGGCAACCAAAGGAGACCCAGCCAATCAGCTGTCACTCAATGGGAGGCAGGTAAGAGATTGGGGGTGGGGCAAGTCAGAGGTGGTATTGGCCAGTTCTCTGAACTACTCAAAATTTCCGCTACCGGTTCTCCAGAACTGGTCGGAGCCTGCTGAATAGCACCTCTGGTTTATAACTTTTCCCCTGATGCCTATGTATCCTGTCACTTTGATTTACCTTCTTGGGCATGTAAGGGGAGCGGGCCGTCTGGTTTGCCTCAGTTCTGGTGCCTTCAGCAAGAGACGCCTGGGAACGACTCCTTACCTATATCACCTTGTCAACCTGCGGTTCTCAAAACAACTTTGCACCTGTGGATTGGCTTACTCAACATCGGGCTGAAGGGAAGGGTTTCTAACTGCTTTATCCTAACTGAATTGCGTGGGGGAACTTCCAATCTTGCTTCTTTTGTCCTGCAATCCCTTTCTTTCAATTAAAGGCTCCTTTTGAAATGTTAGTGGTTTCAGGAGTTTTACTTTCTTGAATGGAGACGAAAGGCAGACCCTTACACTTTCTCTGCCCAGATGTTCAGGGAGAGTTCTTATCCATCCCTCTTTAGCAAAAGGGCAGGGTTGGGTCTTCTCAGGAAGCCTGGTGATGAGAACTGAACTTCAGGCAGCCTTCTAGCTGTGCTTATCATAAATAGCTTGGTTCGTCTTGCTCTTCTGTTTGTTTTCAAGGAAAACATGGAGATTGGAAATACCATTGGAAATACAGAGACTAAAAGGCTTGTAATTAAGGCCTTGAGCAATGTAAAACACAACAACAACGCACTTCTCATCTTCGGAGTCCAACCTACCCAATTGCCTTAAAATAGCTGATAATGAAAATAATCTGTAGCACCCACAATAGGTCACCATTGGCAAAAATAATCACAAATATGACCGAGGGACTCTGTGTGTGTGTGTGTGTGTGTGTATGCGTGTGTGTTTGTACAGCAGTAGTAACTACAAGAGTCATGGTGGTGCAGTGATTAGAATGCAGTATTGCAGGATAATTCTGCCAACTGCCTGAAGTTCAATTCTCACTGGCTCAAGGCTGGTTCCGCCTTCCATTCTTCCGAGGTAGGTAAAATGAGGATCCAGCTGGTTGGTGGGGGCAATAGGCTGACTCTGTAAATTGCTTAGAAAGGGCTATATAAAGTGGTATATAAGTCAAAGTGCTATTGCTGATATACTGCAGTCAGTCAGGATCCTTTCCTGAGTCAGTAGATGTGAGTCATGGTGGTGCAATGGTTACAATGCAGTACTGCAGGCTACTTTTGCTGACTGCCGACTGCCGACTGCCTGCAGTTCAATTTTCACCAGCTCAAGGTTGACACAGCCTTCCATCCTTCTGAGGTCGGTAAAATGAGAACTCAGATTGTTGGGGGCAACATGCTGACTCTGTAAACCACTTAGGGCTGTAAAGCACTGTGAAGTAGCATATAAATCTAAGTGTTATTGCTAATATATTGGATGGGGTCAGTTGTAATTTGAATAGCAATCAGTTATTAAGGACAGTATTGGCAGAGAGTTTGTTATTTTATTATGCTTTCTTTTAAACTAAAAAAACCCACCTCTTTATGTTCTACATTATAGCACAGGTTTTAATTTAATTTTTTTGAATGTCACACCTCCTGTTATGCATGCTGTATTTCTTTTCCTCGCTATTATTTTTCTTTTGATGTTACGTCGTGCTGTTCCAATCCATGGTCACAGCAATAACTTTATTTCTTATTAGCTTAGCCATTTTTAAACGTATTCTAGCTGGATACTCCCTCCTTCATTTTGTAAAAAGTCAAGTCTTCTCCAAGGCAACCATTTTGTAAGAGTGCTTATAATTCATTGTCAAAATTTCTAATGTGTCCAAACCCTCCCCTCAACAATAGTTTTATAAGAACATCACCTGTTGCTTTGAAATGTGTGTGTGTCTCTTAAAGTCAGTTTTTGACTTCTGGAAACTGCTTGTACCAGTCCCTGCAGATCTCAGCAAGATTTTTTAAAAAGTGGTTTGCCATTGCATCATTCTGGGGCTGAGAGAGAATGACTGGTCCCAAATAACCCAGCTAGCTTTCTGCCTCTGGCGGGACTGTTTTTAGCCTGGTACCTTAACCAATACCATCAAAATTGGCTCTCACTTTGAAAGAGACACAAAGCCAAAATTGACAATGCAAACAGAAACGCACTGGAAGATTTGCAGGATGAGCCAGAAATGTAGTCTCTTCAGTGGGAAAACTTACCCGTAACCTTCTTTCAAAAGTGGAAATATTGCCTTTCGTTTGTTCCTTCCTTTGCCTCCACTCGATAAGGTTGGAGTTATGCTCCCCAGGTAAGGAGATATTACATTTTCCTAAGGTGGGGTTGACCACACCAGCTAGGATGTGTGTCTCAGCATTCAGCATCAGCTCCATTCCACTGGCAAATGTGACTCGGAGGGACCCATCTGGACTGACCCGATATATATTCTGAATATTGTCTGTCATCACACAAAACAAGAGGAGAAAGAGCTCAGCTATTCATTTTGATGAGTTAAACATTGTGTGCGTGAAGTCTTTATTTATCTAGTCTTGGAATGACATTTGCAGTCTTGGAATGACAACTGGAAAAATCTGGAGGGGGGGGGTTGCGATGATACTGCATTCAAACCCCAATATAGCTTATTCACATTATTCTCTAAATCAAAGTAAACAATTTCCTATACAAATAAAAAATTCCATATCTGTCTGAACAGCGTGTTGTCTGGGCACAGTCAGTTTTAAGTAGAGATACAACATTAATCATCATCATCATAATAATAGATATGCCTATGTTAATCACAAAATAGTAATACAATTAGTTTGTCCATCTTATAAAATTTTCAATACAATTTTTTTTCCTTATCTTTTTAGGTTCTAAACTCTGTTTGTTAGTTAACCATTCGTAAAATAAGTCCCGTGTTGAAAAAATATTCAGTTTCTTCCTTTTCCACTTCCTTTTAAGTGTTAATCTATCAATCTCAGCACATTCTAGTAATTTTTATAACACTTTCATCTGTAGGGGTCTCTTTATTTTTCCATTGTTGTGCAAACACAATTCTTGCTGCCCTTAACACATGTAAAATTAAGTATGTTTTCTCTTTGTTTTACTGATCTGGTAATATACCCAACAAGAATATTTCTAGTTTCAAATCTGTATGTTGCTTTATCATTTTTTCTAACCAAGTATGTATTTCAAAAATGTATCAATAAAATATATACAAAAAAGAAAGAAAGAGAGAAAGAAAGAAAGAAAGAAAGAAAGAGAGAAAGAAAGAAAGAAAGAAAGAAGAAAGAAAGAAAGAAAGAAAGAAAGAAAGAAAGAAAGAAAGAAAGAAAAGAATTTCTCACAGTAATACTGAAGGAAGATAGCACTGAAAAGGGAAGACTTGCCAGCGCTACTGAAAATATAGTTTGATTACCGAATATAGTATGATTACTTGATTACAGAATGGTGAGTGCAGGATTGCAATCTGTTTTATTAAGGTGTAACACTGACCCACATATAAAAGGAGCAAGGTGTGGACTTCCATATTGCAGATGTTGATCCCACAGACATGGATTCCACTCTACATACCCACACAAAACTTCGTATATAAGCTCAGAAGAACCACAATAGAACCATAATATAGCAGTGCTCTTTATTGTAATGAACACTGAATCTCTTAAAAAAATAGTTTTTTTTTGCAAACATCTGCATTTCTTTTTGCAAACAAGGGATTCTCATTAAGCAATTTTGCTTAGAGTGGGAAGTTGAAAAGGAAACTTATGATCTTAAAGAGGAAATAAATTGTCATCCCCAGTTGTAAAAAATAATCTGTTCTCCAGAATTGCTGCTAAAGTGCAAACATATATTTTTTAGTCCAGGATGGGGAACTGTAACCCTGGAGCAATTGTACCCTGAAGTACAGGAGAAAAGAATTCTGCATCCTTGCTTCAAATATTGCTTTTTTAAAAATTCACAATCTGGCTCATTAAAAGCAGCACCCGAAGGCTTGAAACTTCCACAGGATTTAAAACTCTGGCTCTTGTATAGAATAAATCCATTTGAGAACTTTTGGAAAAACAAAAGCATAGTTATCAATGTTTGGTAAACAGGTTTTTTTTAAACAAAAAACAAAAACAATCTGAGTAGATATAATTAGGCATTGGCTAAGATTTTATACAACAGACTTTTTACCCCGTACCAATTGAGTTTATTAGCATATGGAATTTGTTCTTAATTTTATTATGTGACTAAAATTGACAGAGATGAGCTGAAGTGTGGAATAATTGCTGCAAAACACTTCCTCCCCCCCAAATAAAAGCTTCTAACTATTTTTGTGTCTTCCAGTTTATTGTCTTTCTCTCTATATTATAAGCCCCAGGGAAATATTTGTATTTGAAATGCATTGGGTTGTAATAAAATAATACTTTCTGTAGCATCTGGAAATCTTTCTCTCCCTCTTTGAGGGTGAAACATCCCCCTTCCTCCAAATCTCTGGCTTTTTTGTGTAGCTGAAATAAAAGTTATGCTACTGTCTTCTTAAATGACTAAATGCAGCTATTAGAACACTCTAATAGCTGAAGAGTATCTGGCAGTGATAACTTAAATATGGGTCACAGTAAGTCAAATTTGTCAGTTTTGCAAATTTCCACAAATTATTAAGATTCATCATCAAAACACACAAACAGACACACAAATATTGTTGGCGTTTATAACACTCAAAAATTTATGGAATTACTCTGGTTTCAATCTTTGCTGTATCCTGCTCAGATCTACAAAACTTGGGGAGAGATTATCTGTCCATTTGGAATGAGGCATCATCAATACACAGATGATACCTAATCAGATTTATTTTGTTTATTTACTTGAGTTTTATCCCACCTTTATTACTCTGTAAGAACTCAAGGTGGTGAACATACATAATACTCCTTCCTCTTCTTATTTTCCACACAACAACAAATATAAATTGGCATGTGACTCAGGATGACAAACATTAAAAAAAAAAAAAAAATCAACATCCTTGGGTGGAGTCTGGGCAACTGAATGGAGCTGAGCATTTACTGGCCGGATGCCTTTCCTGTCGCCAATGCAGAGATATATTCTCATCGTGCCCAGAGAAAAAAAATATCTGCCTCTACCTAGGATTGAACTTGTAGCCTCTTCATTGTGAGGTGAGAGCTCCACCTCTAGTCCACTCCACTACTCCAAAAAAAAACAAACACTAAAAATGCAAGCAGGTAATAGAATAAAATATAAAAATGCAATCTACAAAGTAGCCTGCAAAGAGAAGAGTTGGGGAAAACAGTCATTCAGCAGACCCAACCAATGCCTGGATCCAATGCCTTGGATGAGTGGGTGGCATAAACCAATTTATTCTTTCTGAAACAGGCATTCTGGGCCCATCGGGCAATATGACAAAAGTCCTAATCCGTGGTGGGATTCAAATTTTTTTGCTACCGGTTCTGTGGGAGTGGCTTGGTGGGCTTGGCAGGGGAAGGTTACTGCAAAATCCCCCTTCCCTTCCCACCCCACTAACCTGCTTTCCAGCTGCGTTCTCCTGTGCAGGGCAACCAAAGGAGACCCAGCCGATCAGCTGGGACTCAATGGGAGGCAGAGAAGAGATGGGGGCAGGGCCAGTCAGAGGTGGCATTTGCCGGTTCTCCGAACTACTCAGGACTTCCGCTTCCGGTTCTCCAGAACTGGGCAGAACCGGCTGAATACCACCTCTAGTCTTAAAACACCTATCTGGAGGCTCTCAAAGGAAAAACAGGCTCAGATTCAACTAAATATGATGATGGGCGGTTGACATGGAGGGTGTCTAATTCCAGGGTTGCGCCATCTTTGACTCTTGATGAGATTGAGGTCTGCTTTCCCCAGAAAAAAAAGCAGACTCATAATCTAGGGTTCCTTCTGGAAGCAGTTCCTGCTCCAACAGAGGATGGAGATCATGGACAGTAAGACTTTCCATGGCTTCAGCCAGTGGGCCATCTACAACTCTCTTTGAAATCGTATGTGTTGAAGGTCGTCGCCCATGTCATTGTTACCCTGTCAACCCCACGAGATAGACTAGATCAGAAAATGACCTCTGCAGGAAAGCTAATAATACTTTGATTGAGATAGAATCAAATAGCAGAATCTTGTAAGTCTGATGGAGCTATTCTTTCTTTCTTTCTTTCTTTCTTTCTTTCTTTCTTTCTTTCTTTCTTTCTTTCTTTCTTTCTTTCTTTCTTTCTTTCTTTCTTTCTTTCTTTCTTTCTTTCCTTCCTTCCT